CCATCGCGTCGACGCGCGCGGAGCTGGAGCCGACGGCGCTGCGCGACCTGCGCCGCGTGACGGTGCCGCTGTCGCTCATGGACCCGTGGGCGTACGAGCACCACGAGGCGTCGCCGCGCGCGGCCGTGCCGCCGTCGCCGGCCGTGCCGCCGCACCGGCCGCGCTTCGTCAAGAGCGCGTCGGCCACCGCACTCGTCACGGAGCGGCTGTCCGACGTACGCGCCGCCCGCAAGGAGCGCTGGTCCGTCATGACCGATGCGCATGCCGAGCGCGAAGCCAAGCGCGCGGGCCCCGCGAAGCGCCTCGCCGTGCGCTGGCTCGCGCGCAGGAGGCGCGGGGCCAGGAGGAGGGACGCGTGGGACGCGCCCGCGCCCGCGGAGGACGGCGACGAGGACGATGACGAGGACGACATGGACCGTTTTGGCGAGTACGATGCAGGCGCCGCGCCCGCCGGGTTTAAGCTGTACCGGCAGCGCGGGTACCCGCGCTTCGAAAGGCTGGGGGCGCGCGGGAGCGCGGACACGAGACGCATGGCTGTGCCGGACCGGTTTCATGACGAGATTCCGTTGGCGACTGCGCCGAGACGGGGGCGAGGGGCGGGGCAGAGGGAGACGGGGTATGCGGGGGCTAAGGTGTCGGGGGAAAGCGTGATGTCAGCGCTGACGAGGGAGTCGGAGGAGAGACAGCGGCCGCGGGCGATGTCTGAAAGCGGGGCCGTGAGTCGCAGGGCCAGCGCGGTGGCGAGGAGGGAGAAGGCGCGTGGAGTGTGGGATAAGATCTTTAGAAGAAAGTCGGGGAGACAGTCAGAGAGACGCGGGGACGGAATGAGGAGGAGCGGCAAGCTAGTGAGAGTCCGCAGCGTGGATGTCGGGAAGATGGCGGATAGGGTGGGATAGAAGGCACGGGCGTGCAATGATAGAAGGAGAGCACTGGGTCAGGTCGGGGGCGGGCGTGGGGAGGTTGGTTCTGGGGATTGTGTATTGGGTTTATGCGTGCTGCATGTCCATGACGAAGAAACCCGTAGCCATTGTAACAAGCGCATCTAAACGATAGCATCGTCGCAAAGTGTAAACAAGTCGGCGCGAGCAAGAGAAAGGAAGGAGCGGAGTGCGGTGTGCCTGTCGGCGCGCTGCCGGTACGGCCGGGGGCGAGCGCGGGCTCCGGGGGGGGGGGGGGGGGGGGCCCGGGGGGATTTTGCGGGGATCCCCCCGGGGCGGGGGGACCAAGGCCCCCTGGGAA